TTTTTTTTTTTTTTTTTTTTTCGAGATTTTTGGGAAGAAAAGGTGCACGAAGAAACAGTCACAGCTGCAGGGCACTGCGGAGAGGCTTTGTGCGGCCTGCAGTTGGTGATTTTTAATGAATCGGCACCGGCCAGGCCAGCGGCTAATTGAGCGGTTTGCAATCCAGCCCCAAGTCTTTCTCCTGTCCGCTACCACCTCTTACTCCTGCCACCACCCTGATCACGTCGCTGAACAGGCTCAAGACTTTATTTGTGGGTCTCGGTTGTATCGCGATCAATGGCGCCCGTCAGTGCATACGCGGCCCGCGAGGCGCGCAGGCAGGCCGAGGCTCAGCAAAGCACTCCGAGACGGCCGTCGGGAGCAGCGGCAAACGGCAAGGATGCCAAGCAGACTTCGACTTCCACGCCTTCCCGATCGTCACGCAGGGCTTCTTCAGGCAAACACGCTACTTCGTCGCAGCAGGATGACGCATCGGGCGTGGAAGTGGTGATCGCGCCCCTCACACCTTCACAGACCCTCTCGCTCGAGGCCAGCTGGCGCGCAGCTGCTGCAACGCCAGCCAAAGCCAGCCGTGCTGACCTTTCCTCCGCCTCCAAGCGAGCGCGACGATCCTCGACGACCCAGCAGCCGGACTCGGTTGCTGCGACACGGCCAAGGAGGAACTCGGTCGCCAGTGCAACCGAGCGAACGCCAAAGTCCGCAAAGCAAGCTATCGCTAGCAGCACCACACCGCAGAAGAGCACACCGGGTCGACGGGCCTCCAAGAGCATCTCTGCGGCTGCCTCGACCTCATCCACGCCTGCATCGTCGAGCAAAAAGCGCAAATCGTCCGGCGCTTCCGCTCGGGACCAGGCCGAGGATGAGCTGGAGCAGGCGGTGCAGGAAATCATTGACGAACTCCGGCTCGGAAAGGCCGACGACAGCGACTCTGAGTCGGAACAGCCGCCGCCGCGCAAGAAACACGCCGGGCGAGCTGCGTCTGTCCCCAAATCCAAGGCGGATCAGGCCGAGTCATCCCAGGCCGCATCCTCTAAGCCGTCCGCATCAAAGCGCACTACCGCCGCAGCCACGCCTGCAAAGACCACGCCCAAGGGTAAGGCAGAGACAGCGCGGGCCACTCCGGCCAAGAAAGAGCGAGCCACACCTGCAAAGAAAGAACGGGCCAAGCCCGCGCCGAAGACCGGCGAGAGCAGTGCCAGCAAGCAGCGGTCGCTCTTTGCCACACCAGATCAAAGCAGGATCAAGGCTGTTCGCCGCTACTTTGCCGGTTCGGCCGGAAAGCCTGCCAAGTCCAACGTCGGTCCTTCCGATATGCCAGTCGAGGATCCCACGACTGGATTCTTGGCATTCGCCGACGACGATTCCGACGACGCGTCTTCACCTCAGGAGGACGCAGCGACTCTGCAGGCGGAAAGCCAATCCGACGACTCGTCTGACGATGAGGCTGGGCAGGCAGACGCTCAAGCAGGGTCCGTTCCAAACGTACGCAGGCGAAAGCCGGAACCCAACCAAAGCCCCGCCCGCTCCAACAAGCCACAGCGCCGTCGTGCCGCACATGCGGATGAAAGCGATGTGGAGTTGATCGACGTCGAAGCAGAAGATCCTCCAGCTCTAACCCGTGATGCGCTACTGGATGCCATTCCCTACTCCCACTTCGAGGCTGTGCTCGATGGGCAGACGCCCAACACCGTCGTCAAGGAGAACAAGAAACGTTCCAAGGAGACGCTCTATTTCGGCCTCCGCCACGACGAGACGCTCTCCTTGCTTGGAATTGGATGCGTTCGCGTGCTCCGAGGATGCGTTCAGATCGGCGGCGCGGTCCTCTCCACCTCGGACGACGGCTTCCAATCCGCCAAGGTGCATGCGCCAATCTGCAATGCGCTTCCAGTGCTCAGATGCGTTCCGCCATCGCGCCTCCCCGGACACCAGGCAGCCGGCACAGACGCGTCTCAAAGCGAGGATGCCTATGACGCCGAGGCAGTTCCTCTCTTCGCTCAGCCTTTCGACGCCATCATCAAGCTCACGCCTCTGACTTCGCCCATCACCGCGCTCGGTCAAGTTTGCCCGATCGGCGGCCTCGCCACGCCCTTCTCGGCTCCTTCCAACCTGGAGCTCGGCAATCTTCACCAGCTCGCCACCGTCAAGGTGCTGCTCGCCCCTGACGTAGACCAGCTCGCCAATAGACAGAAGAGGCTCACCAGCACCGGTGCCTACCCCACGGCGGGTCTTAGCGCGACCTACCTCCCTCACGCGTGGCAGAATGCGCTGCATCGCCTGGCTACATCGGCGCTGTCAGCTGCCCAACATCCGCAGGAGGAGTCCGTCGTCGCCCTCATTCGTGGCAATCGCAAGGTGGGAAAGAGCACTTTGAGCCGCATGGCTCTCGAGCGCATCCTCTCGCTCGGCAGCAATATCGGCGGCGCAGTCGCCTACCTAGAGCTCGACCTCGGTCAAAGCGATTTCGGTCCGCCGGGGATGGTAGCCCTGCATGTTTTCAAGCGCGACGACGCCTCTCTTGCTGACCAAGGTGCAGTCCAAGCCGCAAGCGAGCATGCTACATCGGGCACAGGACTGGACCAGAACAATGTGAACGGCGACAGGCAAGTCGCTCGGGGTGCCTGCGTCACACTCGGACCAGGCTGGTGTCAGCCTCGCGTCCCAGCCCGTGCTCACTTTGTCGGTGATGTCTCGCCGCGCGATGATCCGGAGAGCTACGTTGCGGCTGTCCACGATCTCATCGATTACTTCCGCACCCACATTCAGCCTGGTCAGGCCGATGCCGCTGGCATCCAGCAGCGCGTGCCGCTCGTCATCAATACGCAGGGTTGGATCAAGGGGCTTGGCGCCGATCTCGCCGCTCGGCTCGAGCCGCTGCTGCGCCCCACGCACATCTTGGACGTGATCCCGCGTGGATCGTCTGGCATCGTTCCTCCGCCCACTCGCGGCCCACGCTGGCTCGACATCGATGGCGCCATCCTCGGTGCAGGCCCCGAGATCGCCGCACTCGAGAGCGTTTCGCAGCTCGAGTTCGCTTCCTCCGGTCCGGCAGACGCCGAGCAAAGCAGCCGGCCAAGCGTCAGTGCAGGCACATCGGAACAGACGGGCACAGGCGATGGTGGTGCGACTCCTCCTCGCTATGTCACCGAAGTGGCTTCCAAGCTTGCTCCTACCGAGGCTCGATTGCTCACCTTGATGAGCTATTTGTATGCTCAGGGGCTCGCCCCCGCGTCATCCTTCGGAGCGGCAGTGCGGGGAACGTGGAACTTCACCGAGCCGCTGGTGCATCGACTTCCGCTTGTCGTTGACGTGAACCAAGGACTCAAGGCCGGCATTCGCGTGCTCGCCCTTGGCTCTTCCGTGCCGGATAGCCTCAAGCTCATGGCGATCAACTCGTCCATTGTGGCGATCACGGTGTCTGACTCCGGCAGCGAGGCGGTTGACGACGACGTAGCTGTGGACGCAGCGCAGAAGGACGGCCAAGTGGTCAACACGTGGAAGCGGGCGTTCGACCGGGCTGCGCGCATCGTGCATTCGGGCGAGCGTCTCCGCTCGCGCTGCGTGGGACTTGGGATTGTGCGTTCGATCGATGTGGATGCGGGTCACGTCCACCTGCTCACGCCTGTCGACCCCGAATTCCTGGGTGGGCTGAAGCTCGAGTCAGGAGCAGGACGAGCGATCGGCCTCGTCAAGGGTGCAATTGAGCTGCCCGTCTGGGCGTCGCTCGACCTTGAAGCGATTCGCGAGGCGCGCGAGAGCCGACTCAACGTCGTGCCTGCCCTCGGCCGTCCGGGTGCGGCTGAGGATGCCGAGGGTGGAGAGAGGCAGGCGTCGGACGAGCCGCTGCTTGCAGGCATGCCCAGGAACCAAGTGCCATACCTCGAGTGGCCGCACGTCGCCAACCTCGCACGTCTCAACACCAAGTCGAAGCGCGACACCGCAACCGACGCGCCGCTGCAGCTGGGATCAGAGAAACGCCGTGTGCGCCGCAACCTCATGCGCAAAAGCCAGTTTGCTTGATTCCTCCCTCCCCCTTGTTCAAGGAGGCCGTTTGTATTTTTTGCATTTGCCTGTAATGTTTCATGTAGCATACTGCTCTCTAGGCATATCGTCTGTTCTTGCTCGGCGAGGCTAAGTTTTGAGTGCAGATGGCTCTGAGTGCAATGCATCGCTTTGACCAGGTCAAAGCGATGCCAATGGAGATTTTTTTTTTTTGAGAGCGAAAAAAATGAACATGATCCCAACCCGATTTGAACGGATGACCTTCGG